CGGGGATTTACTGTATCCAGACCACTCTATCTACAAGTCAATAGTGCCTAATGCTCCGTATCTCTCGTTTATCAGTATTTGCCAATGGAAGGTCTGCTTGCTTGGGAACTGGAACCAAATACCAGAGTAAACAAGCCTCCAAACCTTGGCATCTGAGGATTTGTATTTGTTATCATAGTAGTGTTGAAATAGAGCTCCCTTGGTAGGAATGCTCACGTATCCTTGTGACCGGGGCTACCAGTTGTGACCAATAAACTGACAAAGGACCTCCACTACAGGAGACTGATACATATTCAACAAATGCTGACCTCTTTATCACCTCAGTCCTGGAGATGGCTACCAAATTCCTGTGGACTTCAACAATTTTCCAGTGCAGCTAGTTAATTCCCAGCTTGTTCTTTGCTGGGGAGTCCATATCTCCCATGGGTAAAAAGTAGCAGCAAGTTCCTGTGCTTCTGCTGGAAATCTGTATATTGACAGAATTGCATAGACTAGTAGGCTCTAAACAGGATAGTACTAACATTATGACTGCATTTTTTTAAAAAGACACTTTCTATGTAAAAGCTGCAGAACAGTACTCTGCAGAGGCATGAACTTGCTTACTGTTGCCTTGGCAGGTTGCCTCCTCTCAGGTGTTGCCTGTTGTCTCAGGTTTTCCTTTGGTGGGACTGTTGGAGTCTATTTGCTGTATGTGTTACTTCATTGAAATTTCTATCCCTTTGTGTATGATTTATAAATAATTTAGAAAGTATTTCCAGAAATTAAGGCTGATTTTAAATTTATTTTGTTTTTCTTTTCCCCTAATAAAAGAATCCATTAAGCAGGGAAAATAATTTTTTTTAATGCCAAAATCAATTTATCAGTGGTACCTTGAGGGATAATAGAGAGGAGCAAATGTTCGTTAGGGATGAAAACATCACTGTGCAATTTTCCTTGTGTGTTCCCTCCAATGTTCTGTTCCTCAGGCACCCAGCTTCAGAGGCGTTGCTGCTCTGAAGGCTGACGATGAGGAAAGGACTGTTCTGCTGTAGGTACATCAACGTGGTTGTTAAAGAATGTGCCATCTCTTATTTTTTCCCCCCTGTGGCCGTAGATGTAAGAAATGAGCTTTTCACCTTGCTTTGTGTATTGGTATGCACATGTACTCATAAAGCCCAGAGAAGTACAATATTAAAAATCACATCTCTACCTGTGTATTCACTAGAATGCCAGTGGGATAAAGATGTCCTGTTTATCACGTCCTTTGTGGGCTGAGGTTCAAATCACTGAACTGTGAAAGTCTCCAGCCCATGCAAGATATAGCAGCACAGTGTGTTTAGAGAAAGCTTTGCTAAGGGCATGTGGGAAACAGCAGGAACTGGCTCATAGTTCAGACCTGAGTTGGTTGAGCAGTCCGGAGGTCTCGGTGCGAGCTGCTTTGCGTGGCTTTGTTGGGGTACTGCGGAGGGCCTGTAGTGCTGTTTGGATTGAGACGAGCGCCCTGGCCGCCTAGGATACGCCTGCACTGGCCGACATGGTCTGTGACTTCTCTGAGAGTAATGGGAGGCTTTTCTTCTAGTGGACAATCTTAAGTTTGGTGGCCCTCACAATAGATATTACTCAAACATTTTTGACTCCTTAGTAACTGCAAATGCATTCAGAGCTTCCAGTTGCCTGGATCACCTGTATTTCCCCACCCAACGTGCTGGTTTCCTACTTCCTATCTCTGTGGTATTTAACTATTTTATGAATTTGGAGCCCACAGCTGCAAACGTAGAGCCTATTTAATGAGTGAAGCATCAGGTGGTCGAACACCATTGGGCAGGACGGCTGCCAGTGCTGCTAGCTAACACTATATATAATATTTTTCATCCTTTTCCTGCAGCTGATGAATATCCACATGTTGTAAATGGAGGAAAAGGGATGTAAAGTCTCGCCAATGTTGGCTGGCAAACCGAATGTTCAGAGTCCCATGGCAGTGATTTGTCTTTTGATCCATATTGTTTCCCTTTTTCCCCCACTGTTCCAATACACCACAGAGATATTTTCAAAACTTTAATTCAAGTTTAAGCAAAAAATTACGCTTACAGTGTACATTGGAACTACATCCAAGGAGGCAATGATATAGTAAAGTGCCGATTTCCAAGTTACCTTTTGCCTGAAATTTGTTTATGAATTTAGGTAAAGTGGTTGCCATTTATTTACGCAGTGTCTTTTCTGAAGGAGAAAACACTGGTTTTGTGTTGGTTGGTTTTGAGTCACCAGTGTTTAACTCATCTTGCAGGCTGTTAATGCATTGAAATAATAAGGAGGTATGGTAAAAGGAATTTGCTTTGCGTGTCTCATTGCGAATTTGTCCTATGAGATGCTGAGCTCCCCTTAGGAAGTGCTGACAGCATACTTATCTCCCCATACCTTACATGCATGCAGGAACGTGTTCTAGCTAAAGCAAAGCAGTGAGCTTGTTGATCTTCGTGTATGTTTGCCTACATAGTATTAAATAGTGCTATCTGGCACTTACCACTGCTGATTTAATTAGCTCTCACAGCAAGGTTGCTTCGATCCAAAGCACCTTTCAGCTATTTGGCTAGGAAACTGATAGTAAAAAAGTCATGTGATTCTACACTGAGCCAAAAGTCCTTCTGAAAGGAAGGGTAGGAAATATAAATACATTCCAATTTTTGCATAACAACTTGAAATTAATTGATTTATGGCAATTAAGAAAACTTCTCACACTTATTCAAACTTAGACCATGAACCTTGGCATCCTGTACAGATTAGCATTCCTAGAAATTTCTGTAGTTTCAGGATCTCTTCTTCAAAGAACAGGTAATGACTTTCCCTCAAAATATTTCTGTGCCCTATTTTGAAGTGTTGCTGGTGTGGGATTCCCGGTGAGTTCTCCCTCCAGAGCAGTGGAATTGAGTGTCGTCTCTCACCTGTGTTACTCATCCTGCATTAACGATGTTCTCTAGAACTCGTTGTTGCAGCTTTTGAGAGTTTTCCACGTCGACTTTGGAGGTCCGTGGGCCTCAGTTAGCTGTGGTATTTTTCTAGAGCTCTTACTGAGGTGCTTCTCTGTGCAAGACCAGCATTGCCTGTTTAGGCAGGAAGCAATGAGCTTCTGTACTGATGGTACTGAAGAATGGAGTATCCTTCAAAACAGTAGATTTGATCCTGCTTCTGGTTTTGTTTATGGTTGTTCCCTTCTCCCTTCCTCAGAGCAAATGCAATTCCTTATTTTTCTGCTCATTCCCTGCCAGAAATGGGAATGTTTATCCTTTTCTTTCCCACTCAATCTAACCAGCAGTTTTGCTTGTTCTGTCGGTTGCTGGATTCTGCAGTAGTTCTCAGTTATCCCGTGACAATATATCCATTTCTTCTCTGAAGGCACAGTCAAACTAGGCACAAGGGCAAGTTGGCAGAAATTCAGAAAAAATAAGCGTTCAGGTTGGAGGAAACACAAGAGTGCCCGTAGGCCAGGTTAAGCTCTGAATTTCAGCAGCTTGAAACCTGCTTGGTACAGGGAATCTGCTGTGAGTTTTCAATGCCCGAGTACTCTCTCTCTTGAATGAAGCTGATCTTAGTAAGGATGAGTGGTTTTTACTGTTGGTCCATCTGCTTATGTGAAAGTTTTCAGTTCTGGTAATATTTACACTGTGTTAGCCAAATTACTGCCTGATGTACTTCTGTTAATTTTTTACTCCGCTCTACTTACTTATGTATTTAGCTCAATATATTTCACTGGTGTAACTCCTTTTAGGACATAACAGGATATTACCCTCATGAAAGCCAGTCAATTGTGGGACAAAGTACTACTTCTGCTTTGTAAAATATCACAGAAAAACGCCTGTTTCATACAACTCTGCCTGTTGAGACTTCCAGTGAGGACTGGGTCCTCTTCTGCTTGCCACTGTGTAAATACACGATGCTAAAGCCCTGGCTCCCTTGCAAACCTGGAATTCAGCATCTGCTGAATTACCCTGATCTGTGAGCCTGATGCATTTTGTTCACAAGACATCAGAGCGTGCAGGCTGCTGCAGGCTGTACTACAGGGTGGAGAGCAGCAGGTACTGCTGTACTGTGCTTCAGCCCACTCTGTCCGTAGCTGCTTGAGTCGCTGCAAGAGTGCAAAATTCTGCAAGTCCTACAAAGGTAGTATTTCCATAAGGAGTTGCCCTGAATAATTATTTCAGAGTTGAGCCCCAAAGTAACACATTCTGTTTAATCAAACAAATTTTTCTGGCTTTTTGAATAGTGTATAATACACTTCCTATGTGTCGTTATTGTGGTAGGATGTTACAATTCTTATTAACCTGCGTCTGAAAGTATCGGGACTTGAAACTCCTGTTGTGTTCCCATAGCAATGGTGAGTTTCCACTGACAGTGACATGTTTAGAGGCTGAAATGGAACCTCTTAATGTTTTGGCCTTGTCTAGTGCATCTCCTTGGCCAGTTACAGAGCACTTTTCACAGGGAGGAGAACTACCATCCCTATTTTATAGGTAAATAAATTAAGAAAATGATTGCCTGACATCACTCCCATCAGAAAAGAGATCTTGCTGTGGCCCCCTTTCCCCTCTTTCCTTCCCTAGCCCTCCTCCCTTCTTCTCGCTCACTGGAGCATCACATGTTTGTTAGCTCTTGCGGTCTCCTTTTATTCTGCCTTAGGTAACCCAGATGCTCTTTACCAAACCTTAGTGTTCACCCTCACCATGGGGAGAAGACAAGTGTGTTGGTTCTCCACTTATGCTTTTGTTTTATGAAAGTAAACCAGCATGATCTTAGGCTTATTCGTCCAGTTGTGTGGTAGGTAAGAAATATAGACTGAGGTGATGCACCCTTGTAGGTGTTTCACCCCCAGTGTAACAACATTCACACGATGTGGAATAAGCTAACTTCAATTTGCACGCGTTTTGAGTAGCATCCGTAATAAAAATATCAGGGCTGGGAATTCGAGGTCTTAAAAGGAGACAGGTGTGATTAATGCTTGTTATGGTTTCCTTTTTTGTCTCTTGTAGCAGAGTTTTGCTGTGGATTCTTTGTGATCCTGATCCTAGGCAACTTCTGGTTCCTCGCCGTTCTGTACCTGCTGTGGCTGTACCTCGACTGGGAAACGCCATGCACAGGGGGCAGACGGTCCCAGTGGGTCAGAAGCTGGACTGTTTGGAAGTACTTTAGGGAATACTTCCCCATTCACGTGAGTAAAACGTTTCTCACAGAACTGTAAACATTGGAACAGAGACAGCTTGAATAGCCATGAGCGTGGACAAATGTCTAAGACTCATCTTTGGTGAAATTCTAGTACTTACTCCAGGGTGACCTTAACTGCTTTTTAAAACATGGGAAGTCTGAGATCTAGCGTCAAAAAGGAGCAGGGGCTGATTTTCTACTTGGACTGTTGGGTCACAAGATACTGCCTCAGCACAGTAAATGCTAGACATGATATCTTGAGACACATCTATTTGAACTTTGTTCAGCTGTGTAACGGGACAGTAGTTTAAGGTGCTCAGAAAGAATTGTCATCGGTTCTGCGTCCTGTCAATGTGCAATCTCCATACTTGTTGTTTTTGAGAATCTTTCTGAGGTAAGTATTATAATGTCCTCCACCGTCTCTATTTTTCAGCTTATAAAAACTTCTGATCTGAATCCAAATCACAACTACTTACTTGGCTTTCACCCTCATGGGGTCCTGGTCGCTGGAGCCTTCGGAAACTTTTGCACCGGTCCAAGTTTCAAAAATTTATTTCCTGGGCTTACTCCGTATCTTCATATCATGCCCATCTGGTTCAGCTGTCCCTTCTTCAGAGAATACGTAATGAGTGCTGGTAGGTAAAAGCAGAATGTCTCAGCTGTTGCTCTGTATTGTAGCTTCTGCTTCAAATGTAGGGCCTATTCCTGTACCTATAAATGGTAAGTAATTTCACTTCAGGAGCGGCGTTGGTGCTAAATTAAACCGCTGTTTTATGATGAACTGTTGTTGCAAAACGATTTGAAAGGTTTTATTAATAGTTTTGTTTAACTATATCACTGAGCTTTTTTTTTATTTCTGAAAGAAATTGCTGTTTTTCCCTTGAACTATGAGACAGCAGTACTGAGTACCAGTTATTTACAAGAAGAGAAGGGCATATTAATTTATAACGTTATTTAGTCATTGCGCAGACACTTGTAAAACAAATTGAGGATAATCTCTTACCTGAATGGCGTAAAGTCCTACTCCTTTCAAATATCTTTCTAGTCAGAAGTTAATTACCTACTTCTGAGTGAGGTCCCATATTGCAAATTTGTGTAATTTTAATGGAGATGTAAACTCTAAAGACAGGAACTTTTTTTTTCTGTTCTGAGCAGCACTTGTCATAAAGGGGTGATATTCATGACTGGTACTGCAGTAATAAAAGATAAAAATAACAAGCAATAAAGTTTGGAGAACAGAAGAATGTGTAATGAAATCAGGACTAGTGTCCCCCCACAGTGGTTTAATACAGGAGTTATTTTACTTAAATTCATTAAGCTAGAGCATTTGAGTAAGTACGGTCTGGTGCACAAGACTAGGTTTGGGAGACAGAGAACTAGCTCTTATTCCTGACCGCAGCACAGATGCTGCGATTTCAGATAAGCTATGCAACTGCTCCATTCGTAGAAACATGCCTAGGATGTTGTTCAGGTTAATATCAGAATTGCATATCCATGTATACTTCAAAATAATAGAGAATGCCCTTCCATGCAAATGTTATTTCTGAGGGGATTCTTTCAGGCTTGTAAAGTTAAGGGCTTGGCAGTGGTGGAAGGTAACAATTTTAAACATTGCCTAACCTGGAAGTCAGCTTTACACGTTTTTGGCATCTTGACCCATAGGAACAAATATTTACCTGCTAGATGAGAAATGACTTGAGTAAAAAGCATGCTAAAGAATAGTCAGCATTGTAGCTCGTTTTTCACAGGTATGTAGCTGATAAACCAGAGGGGACCTTCAGTATAATGCAGGTTATCAGTCAAATCATAAAACACTTGCAAAATCTTCCATGTACTGAAAGCCATGCTCCTAGCACACTGTTTCATCTCCTAGTCTTTCGCTCCCTGTCTCCGAAGCCTGCCAGGCTGCAGCTGTCGTCATCGGGAAGAGCAGTTGCAGCACTACCGAGCTGCTGTGTGAGCGAGCAGGGAGCAGTGCCCTGCACGCAGGCTGACATCTCTGCTTCAGCAGGAACATAAATTTGTCCTGGGGAAAGGCAGTGGCTCTTGCTTTCTCTTCCAGAGAAAATGCATGCCGACTGGTGAACGAGCATCACTCAAATTATTTGTGATTCTCAGGTCAGCTGCATTTTTCAGAGTAACAGTGGCTGTGGAGACATATATGGCAAATTGAAATAGCTTTTTACTGAGGTCTCTGAACTTGCTCCAGGAGCAAGCTATTTTTCTTGGTGGCCAGCCCTCAAAACTACATCACGATCATCTTGCCTTTCTTGTGAGATTTTTATAATCTACGTTGTAATGTCCCTAATGGGGAAAAAAAGAAAGTGGGTAACACAGAATCATAGAATAGTTTGGGTTGGAAGGGACCTCTAAAGGTCATCTAGTCCAACCGCCCTGCCATGCTCAGGGACATCTTCAACTAGATCAGGTTGCTCAGAGCCCCGGCCAACCTGACCTGGAATGTTTCCAGGGATGGGGCATCCACCACCTCTCTTTTCCTCTCTGGGCAACCTGGGCCAGTGTTTCACCACCCTCAGCATAAAAAATGTCTTCCTTCTATCTAGTCTAAATCTACCCCCCTTTAGTTTAAAGCCATTCCCCCTTGTCCTGTCGCAACAGGCCCTGCTAAAAAGGTTGCCGTCATCTTTTTTACAAGCCCCCTTTAAGTACTGACAGGCTGCAGTAAGGTCTCCCCGAAGCC